CCTTTATGGTTTTCAAACGCACTTTCCTGTCAAAAAAGGGCTCTGGTAAAATATCTCGCAATTAAAACGCGTTGTTTCAGAAAAATGCGCATTTTCCTCATTACTACACATTATTACAAAATTTTTCTATTTTTATATAAACTCTTCTCGATGCTAAAGCGGAAAGCCTGCTGGCAAGTCAGATCACATTTAGTCTGCTTTCTTCTAAGAGTCACCTTTTCTGGGCAACCGTCGAAAGAGGGAATTGTCCACAGCACGGCCAGTAGGAAGGCTGCTAACAGAACTGTGCTGTTATAAAGCCATTTTCAAGTGCCTTTATTTCTCGCAACAGCCAAATTACGAAGCTTTTAAAATCACAATTCACATGGGAAAATTCACTTACTTTTGGTCCCAAACATTTACAACAGCAGTTGCCGTGTACTGCGGGCTACTTTCGATTCCGAAGCAACTGCATCTTCCGCTTTCTTCAAGTTTCAACACATTGTTCATCTTAAATACTGTCATAAATTAACAAAAAACAGAAGATACTACAAAAACTGACTCATTTAGTTCTTTGAAGAAAAAAAAAAATAAAGTTTCTACGAAAAAAAGCAAGTCCCAAATTTCTGTCTTCAAAAGTGAAAAGCGTTTCTCGTATATCATATGGTCCGGAATAGAGTGATTAAAATTTCATCGGTTAACGTTTAGAATGTATGTATGTCCTATTTAATGCATAAAGTACCGCAAGATTTGCAGAACGAATTAGAATTTTTTGCCAGTAAAACGCTAAAATACTTAAATAGTCTTAAAATAATCAGTACTTATAATAAATAGGCAGATATCCTGTCATAGCTTAGGCTGCGGAAAACCAACCAAAAGCCAGCAAAGAAGCCACCAAAAGAAAGAGATGTACATTTGTTCAAGGGAGACAGGCAATGGAAGGCAGATATACAGTAGATGTGACCGTGGATTCTGACGCACAACGGTTGTTGGTGTACTGGGTAGTATATCGTGACCGGATGTGAAGATTATTTCGATCCCCTCCTGGTCCACAACTATTTTCGAAAAGGGGCTTCTTTCACTTCGACAGCCCCGTAGATGTTGCATCGTTCAAGACGAAGTGTTAATGCCCAAAATACGCCGCGAATATCTCGGAACGGCCATACCTTTGCTAAGTGTTTCTGTCAGGAGAATCACTGAGCTGGTGGCTCTTTGCGGAACGAAAACGGTCATTACAGCCGACAGCAAGCTGACCACTAACTGGTGCAAAATGGGAAAGTCGTTCAGCCGCATAGCTGGAGAATTAGAGTGTGATTACTGCTAACTCAACTGCCCAAGTATGTTTTCGTGAAAAAGAATGAACGTATTAACCTGAACTGAATATAATTCAACGTTAAGAGCAGCTTCAAGTGTCAGCACAGCTCTTGCCGGATTACCACGCAACGGCCACCAGATGTCGCAATGCCTGAAAGAAACAGACAAAACTTTTTTGCTTTTATATATTAGCGCAATGCTGGAGAAATTGAAGTTGAGCTTATCAGCAGAAAATTGCGTGCTTTTATCTGTCAATTTTCTTTAATCCATAAATAGCACTCCAAAAAAAAGGCAAAAAAGAGCTTTTCTTGTCATTTTAACAGTGCAAAATTTTTTCCTCGAAAATTAATCCAAACAGCAAACAAATCAGAGAAAAGAACAAGCAACGGGGAAAACCTGATAAAAGGTGTTGAAATGGGTTCTGTCCTGTAGAGGGCCAAATGAACGTAACGAACGATCAGTACAAATGGAGCGGAGATTATCAAAACCAGTAGAACGACTGCGGTGAAAAGTATACCAAGGAAATGCTTCAGGACCGCACCGATAGCGATGCAAAGCAAAGCACTGCCGTAGCGTGGCTTCAGGATTGGAGGTACTGAGGTGGAAGCCACTTTCTGAAACAAAAATGCCAACCAACTCCGCGGAACTCCTCCACTTACGCACTAACACACATATGCATTTGTTTGCTTACTCATTTATTTACCAGTACAAATTCAGGTCACTTTTTTAGCTATCAGTTTTTCCATGTGTTCATTAGTCGCAGTATTCAGTCACCCTTCCCCCAGTTATTTTTTT